GAGCAGCTGGTAGTTTCGAACTGCTGACCTTCCGGTTCACAGCCCAATTCGTAACCACTACGCTACCAGAGAACAATCTATTTTTCGGTGTCTTAATTTTCAAGTCATGTGATATACATATCAAATTTGCTTTGGTACATTGTCTGATACACATATCAAATTTGCTTTGGTACATTATTTTATTATTTAATTTAATATTGTGTTTTCTTGAAATGCATTTCATGTTTTCATGACTTTATGTATTTGTCTCTCTGTTAACAAATCAACCTATCTTTTTTTTAGTTTTCTTTATTGTTTCTCTATTTAAGTGCCTCTCCAAATGTTGAAGTTTTGATCAGTTTGTTATTTTTCCATTGGTTATGATATCCTATTTTCTCCACAGGAATAAAGTAGGAATGACCATGAAAGGCAAATCAAAATTAATAAGACATGAAAGAGGCAAATGTTAGCAATCCAGCAGGTTTCATCTTACTGGGCTTTTCTGATATGCCCCAGTTGGAGCTGGTTCTCCTTGGGGTCATCTCTGTCATATACACTCTGACATTGGTGGGGAATACAGCCATCATACTGGTCTCATATTTGAACCCCAAACTCCACACACCCATGTACTTCTTCCTCTCTAATCTCTCCTTCCTGGACCTCTGTTTCACTACAAGCATTGTTCCTCAAATGCTGTGGAACCTCAAGGGCCCTGAAAAGACCATTAGCTACATTGGTTGTATGATCCAGTTATACATTGCTTTGGGACTGGGATCCACAGAGTGTATTCTCCTGACTGTTATGGCCTATGACCGCTTCAATGCTATCTGTCAACCTCTCCGCTATGACATTATCATGCACCCCAAGCTTCTCCATCAATTAGCATCTCTGGCCTGGATCAGTGGTTTTGTGGAGTCCACAATTCAGACCACCTTTGTTTTCCAATTACCTCTCTGCAGTCACCACAAGGTGGATGATTTTATGTGTGAGGAACCTGCACTCATAAAAATTGCCTATGTGGACACAACCTTCCTGGAAATTGAGCTCTCCATAGCTACTGTCCTCTATGTGATTATACCTCTGGGACTTATTTTGGTCTCCTATGGCTGCATTGTGAGGAGTGTACTGAGGATAAAATCAGCTGAAGGCAGAAGGAAAGCATTTGGGACCTGTGGGTCTCACATGATTGTTGTGGTTTTGTTCTTTGGAACTATAACTGCTGTGTACATACAACCCAAGAGCAAGTACACACAAAATCACAGTAAATTCCTCACTTTGTTCTATACAGTAGTGACTCCCTCACTTAATCCTCTGATCTATACCTTGAGAAACAAAGAGGTGAAGCGGGCTCTGAAAAGGCTGCTGACAAGAGACATACGATAGAGAGAAAATATAATCATGCAATGTTTCTAATGCTGGGAAATTTTATACTTTCTCCTTTCCTTTAGGAGGAGCACCTAAATCAAAGTAGGGATGAGGTAGCCTTCTAATGATATCCTGAAGTTTCCTACCTAAATCTTTGTTACCCTCCTTTCTGGAAATGTTTATATCATCTTTTTGGCTACTTAGTAAATATTCTATGAAAAACAAACATTTATAAATATATGTATATGTATTTGTGTAATTTCATAAATCCTAGAATTATTGTTCTAATCCTATTGCTGTTGAGTAAATTCTGACTCACAGTAAGCACATGTACTACAGAGTAGAGCTGAACTCCGTAGCGTTTCTTGGCTGTAATATTTAGGGAAGCACATTGTCAATGCTTTCTTCTCATGCTGCTGCCAGATGGGTTCAAACTAGCAATCTTTAGGTTCATTGTTGTTACATGTGTTCGAGTCGGTTCTATCTCACAGCGACCCTGTGTAGGGTTTCCAAGGAGCAGCTGGTGGGTTTGGATTGCCAAATTTGCAGTTAGCAGTCCAGTGTTTATCCTAGAGTGTCAGACCAGTTCTGTTGATAGCTTACATGAAATTGTATAGCTCTGGTAGCGTTGTGGTTACAAATTGGACTGCTGACCTCAAGGGAAAGGAGCTCTGGTAGCGTAGTGGTTACGAATCGGGCTGTGAACCACAAGGTCAGCAGTTCAAAACTACCAGCTGTTCCACAGGAAAAAGATGAGGCTTTCTGCTCCCGTAAAGATTTACAGCTTCGGAAACCCTGTACAGGGTCACTATGAGTCAGAAATGAGTCCACGGCACAAAACCAACCTCAAGGTCAGCAACTTGAAACTACCAGGAGAAAGATGAGGCTTTGTGTTCCCATAAAGATTTACAGCCTCAGAAACTCTATACAGGGTCACCATTAGGAAATGATTCCTCCACACACAACCACCACCATCACCATTAGAAAAAGCTCATAACCATTTGCTTGGAAAATTGCTTATTTCCATTAAGTCAGTGGAGACTTCTGGGACTAATTACATCCACCAATTGTTCTCATTGCTCCCATCCACAAAGGAAGATGCCAAGGGAAATGCTCCATGAGGCTGAATGTTTGTCTTTTATACATCCTCCATCAGAACAGAATAGCTCTCACTCTCTTTTGACTTCATCTCCATACCTGAAACCTAAAACAAATATGCAAACACAAATTTAATTCTCATTACTAAACCTGAATCTTTAAAGTTGACAAAAGTAAATAGACATATAAATAATAAAAATATCTGTCTTTGTCATTTGTACAGCATTTTGATTGATATTCTAACTTAATCATTATTGTTGTTAAGTACCATCGAGTTGGTTCCAACTCATAGCAACCTTGTACAGGGGTTTTGGAGCTTTCAATCTTTGCAGGAGCAGAAAATTTCATCTTTCTCCTGCAGAGTGACTGGTAAGCTCAACTACGTGGAGAAAAGACAAAAGATTGAAGGTATGAAAGACTTCAATTTTGCTCATATTGACTATCAACACTCATGGCAGCACAGTCCAGAATTCAAAAGATGTATTGCATTGGGTAAAATCTATTGCACACGATCTCTTTAAAATTTCAAGATCAAAGATGTCAGTTTGAAGACTAACATGTGCCTGACACAAGCCATGATATTTTCAATAGCCTCACATGCATATGAAAGTTGGACAATGAATAAGAAAGACCATAGAAGAATTGATGCTTTTAAGTTATGGCATTAGAGGAGAATATTAAAAGTACCACAGACTGCCAAAAGAACAAACCAATCTGTGTTGGAAAGAAGTACAGCCAGAATGCTTCTTAGAAGCCAGGATGGTCAGACTTCATCTCTCATACTTCAGACATTATTATCAGGATGGATTAGTTCCTGGAGAAGGACATCATGCATGGTGATGTAGAAGGTCACTGAAAAGGGGGAAGACCCCCAATGAGATGAATTTAGCAGCAATGGGCTAAAGTGTAACAATGATTGTTAGGTTGGTGCAGGACCGGCAATGCTTCATTTTCTTGTGTATATGATGGCAATGAATCTGAACCAGCTGGATGGCACCTAACAACAATACAACACATAATACTCTCTATTAAAAGTGTTTTGTTTTGTTGACATAGGGTCTCTATGAGTCAAAATTGACTTGACAGCACCTAACAACAACCGAACAATACCATATTAAAAAATTACAAATCAAGTAATTCTAATAGGCACTGTGATATCGTCTGAAGCTATAGAGCCTTCATGCCCTATGATTAATTACAGTAATTAATTATAGTATCTTATAGATTACTATTCAAGGAGCTCTGGTAGTGTAGTGGTTACAAATTGGGCTACGAACAACAAGGTCAACAGTTCGAAACTACCAGCTGTTCTGTGGGAGAAAGATGAGGCTTTCTGTTCCAGTAAAGATTTACAGCCTCAGAAACCCTGTACAGGGTCGCTATGAGTCGGAACCGACTCCACGGCACATAACAACAACAACAATAGATTCCTATTCAGTATGATAAACCATTAAGTGGCCACTGAACACTGGCAAAGTTCAGGAATTGTTAGAAAGAGTTTGAGTGATAGTTCGGATGTAAGAAAAAGCAGAGGAGGAAGATAAAATAGTTTTAAAAGTAGATCAATGGACTGACTTCACGTTCCAACTTACTGAACCACAAGATATATAAAGCAAGCATATTCCATAAAGTTCTGCTTTAGAAATAATCCAACACAAGTGATTCATTTTGGAAGTACCTCATAATTAGAAATATTCCCAGACTGGCTCAGGTAATATTCCTTACTCATATATAGTCATGTGTCAAAGAGCAAAGATGCAATTTTAGAATCATATTTGAGTGCATAGAGACAAATATATATTATTTACCAGGGACCAGGTGGGAGGAGGAAATGGAGAGTTATTTAGAGGCATTGAGTTAAAATTTGGAGTGACAAAACGAATAATGATTTTGACAGCACAACATGGTGAATGTGATTAGGGTCACTGAAGTGTTCACTTTAAAAAAATATATTAAAATGGCAAATACTTTGTTATATCTAATTTTATATATTTTATCACAATATATTTTCATGAAAAATTAATTTTTAAAAGGATGATATTTGTAAGTAATAGTAGCTGAAATTTTGTTTTCCAGTGCGACTTCAAGAATAATTTTTGTTTTAAAATACTTTAGTCTCTTGGTTCAATATCTCTTAGTTAAGTCTAGTGATTTTTTTAAGCTAGCTTACATCTGTTATGCATATAAGAATGTTGAAATTCCATCACTTAGGTTAGTAGGTATTGTTATTGTTGGTGTTAGATGCCCTCGAGTCAGTTTCCACTCATAGAGACGCTGGTGCACAACAAAAAGAAACACTGCCTAGATCTGTACCACCCTTACAATTGTTTTATATAAACCCATTGTTACAGTCACAGTGTCAAATTCATTGAGCGTCTTTCTCTTTTCCACTGACTCTCTACTTTACCAAGCAAGATATCCTTTTCCAGGGACTGGCCCCTTCTGCAAATACATCCTAAGTATGTGAAGCAAGTCTCGCCATAGCTCTGGTACCGTAGTGGTTATGAATCAGGCTGTGAACCTTAAGGTCAGCGGTTCGAAACTACCAGCCGCTCCGCGGGAGAAAGATGAGGCTTTCTACTCCCGTAAGGATTTACACCCTCGGAAACCCTGTACAGGGTCGCTATGGGTCGGAACCGACTTGACGGCACTTAACAACAACAACGACAACAACTATAGCTCTACTTCTTCCAAGACAAGACAGATTTGTTTGGTCTTTTGGCAGTCCATAGCATTTTCAATATTCTTTGCCAACTCCAGAATTCAAATGCAGCAATCCTCTCAGGTCTTCCTTAGTCATTGTCCAGCTTTCACATGCATATGAGGTAACTGAAAATACTATGGCTTGGGTCAGGTGCTCTTCAGTTCTCAAAGTGGTTTCTTTGCTCTTATTTTAGATGTCATTGTAACAGATTTGCCCAATGTAGTATACTGTTTGATTTCTTGACTGTTGCTTTTTAAGTGTTGATTCTGATTTCAAGTAAAATGAAATCCTTGACAACTTCAGTACTTTCTCAAAGTATCATGATATTGTTTATTGGTCTGGTTGTGAGGATATTTGTTTTCTTTACATTGAGTTGTAATCCACAATGAAGGCTGTATTCTTTGATCCTCATCAGTAAGTGCATGAAGTCCTGTTCACTTTCAGCAAGCAATGTTGTGTCATCTGTGTATCACAGGTTGTTAATAAGCCTTCCTACAATCCTGAAGCCAAATTTTTCTTCATATAGTCCAGCTTCTTGGATTATTTGCTCATACTTATATGGGCTGAATAAATTTGGTGAAATGATACAATCCTGAAACACACCTTTCTTGATTTTTCAACCATGCAGTGTTTTCTGCTTCTGTTTGAATGGCTGCTCCTTGGTCTATGCACAGGTTTCAAATTACCACAATTAAGTGTTCTGGAATTCCCGTTCTTCAAAATATAATCCATAATTTGTTATTATCCACAGAGTTAAATGTGTTTGTATAGTCAATAACACACAAGTAAACACATTTCTGGTGTTCTTTCCTTTCAGCCAAGATCCATCTAACATCAGCAATGATATTCCTCATTCCACATCCTCTTATAAATCCATCTTGAATTTCTGGCAGCTTCCTGTTAATGTACTGCTGCAAACGTGTTTAATTATCTTCAGCAAAATTTTACTTGCAAGTGATAGTAATGATATTGCTTAATGATTTCCCCATTCCATTGGGTCACCTTTCTTTGGAATGGATGCAAATATCTATCTCTTCCAGTATGCTAGTCAGGTAGCTGTCTTTCAAATTTCTTGGCATAGATTAGTTAGTTCTTCCAGTAACTTCCTTGTATTTCTGCCACCTTCTTTTGATGCTTCCTGCATCGTTGTATTCTGACCATTGTTGTTGTTGTTGTTGTTGTTAGGTACCTTTGAATGGGTTCTGACTCACAGCAA